CAGCCGGCTGGCGCCCTACATCATCGACCTGCAGTCCATGAACCAGTTCCGCCAAGACACGGGTGAGCCGCCCACATCCCTTGTCTATCCCGGGAGCTACGGCCCTCGTGGTCGTGGGTCGTGGGCAGTTTCTCTTACTGGTGTCAGCGATTGGTGATGAGGGCAAGTGCTTCCCTTCCCTAGATCCTCTCAGGATCCCATGACCACCAAATAAATGTCCTTCCAAGTAGTTGATCCAAGTGTCTTGACTGTGCAAACCCAGCTGCAGCCTAGCAGCAGGAGACCCCCTTTCTGCCCCTAGTAGCCCTTTGTGCAAGAACTCTAGGACTTTGCAGCCCCCAAGCAATGCTTAGCAAGCAAGACATTGTGGAGCCCCTTGGCTGCTCACACCTTGGCTGACCCTGCTTTGTCTCAGGCACCCTTGGGGCTACCACATGTCCCTTTTAACCTTACTGTCTCTGGCTCTCTTCTATGGACCCAGCTTTCCCACTGCCTGCTCCTGGGTGTAAGACTTGGGGAGCAGAGGGATTCCCCTGGCTTAATTACAGTCAGTCTAGTGTGTGGAAGTGCAGGAACATTACTGGGAAGAGAGAATGGAGCCAGGGGTTCCAGGGCTGGAACACCCTGGATGTGGTGGCATCCACAGATGCCTCTACTTGTATCCTCCAAGCACTGAAGCAACAGGCCAGAGCAGATGGAGAGAGGAGGGGGAAGGACAGGGCTCTGGGATGCCTGCCAGGGAAGCTGCTTCCTTTGTTCCCAGAGCAGGGAACAGACAGCAGTGAACAGTCAGCATGCGGAATGGAAGAAGATCGGCCATACCTTAGACAGGGAATTGACATCTAGAATATATAAAGAATTGCAATAATTAAACCCCCAAATGGCCAGTCAGTAAATTGGCTAATGAAAGGAACAGCCGTTTTCAAGAGAAGAAACAAATGGACACCAAGGATTTTAAAAAGTGTTCCGCATTCTTAGTAGGGGAATGCAAGTGGAAACTAGATGTGAGATTCCATCTCACCCCAGTGACAATTACTGTGGCAAAGAAAAGGGACAAGGACAAATGCTGGTGAGGATGTGAGGAAAGAGGGATGCTTCGTCCCTGCCGGAGGTAGTGCAACCTAGTACAGCCATTATGTAAATTAGCATGCTTATAAATAAATAAATAAATAAATAAATAAATAAATAAATAAATAAAGTAGAACTTTCCTGTGACCCAGCTAGGCTGCTCTAGAGTATGTACCCACGTACTGTATACCCTACTACGGAGATATCTGCACATCCACATTTATTAATGTTCTATTCACAATAGCAACGGCACGGAACCAGCCTGGATGAACCCAACAGATGAATGGATAATGAAGTGGTGCATATATACAAAGGAATTTTATTCAGCTGTAAAAAAAAAAAGAAAAGAAATAAAATAAAATCATGTAACTGGCAGGAAAATGAATGAATATGGGAATTAGCAAAAAAAATTACAAAATCCAGATTTAGACAGAAAGCACGTGTTGTCTCCCATAGTTCAGATCCTAGCTTATAAAGTATGTCTGCATGTATGTAAGTTGGGGTGGATGTGATTACAGTCTCTGAAAACAGAAAAGAGAGCATGAGAAGGGAAGGGAAGTGTTGAAGAAGCAGGGGGCGACCACAAGCGACCTGAGTGTGGATTGGATTGGGGGGCTTGTGTAAGGGTACAGTGAGGGGCAAGGGGGATTGAGACACAGGTGAGGAGAATCAAAATAAATTTTATCTTGAAATGTACAATAAAACCTGATTCTGTGTGTCAATTATTAATTAAAAATTGAGAAGTATATACAAAGATACCTGTCATGTGGTTTTTCTTTAATAAAATAGTAAGACTTTGGAAGCTTCCTAAATTTCCAAAACAGAAAAATGTGAATACATCACGGAATTTCTGTGTCAAAATTCTGACTATCATGCAAGCATTTAAGTTAAGTCCAAAAATATTTTTCCTTTCCCTCCCTCCTCTTCTTCCCTTCCCTGTCCTCTCCTCCCCCTCCCTTTGAGACATAGTTGCAAAGTTCTCAGATACCTCCAATACCCAGACTTCTTGCTAGACATCATTTTTCAATGGCTTCACTTAAGAGATGTCAACATCAAATTTTGAACCCAGAGGTACTGAGTTCAAGTTTTTGTAATTCAGTGAGGTATTTATAGTGCTCATAATACTGTGTAAAAGTAAAACTGGAAAGCGATCCAAACTTTGCTCTGCTAAGGACCACGAGGCAAGTGAAGCGTGGAAATTGCTATGCAGCCTTTAGTTTCTGGATCCTGCCTGACACTACAAGGTTGAGCAGTTTTCAAAGCACTGACCAGTAGAACATTTGCTGAAGTTACTTAGTTCAGACTTGACACTTGAGAGCTGGTTGCTGGTAGAGTGCTTGCCTTGTAATTAAGAGGACCTAAGTTCTGATCTCCAGCACCCAGTTAAATTCTGGACACAAGCTATGCATGTTTGTTATTCCAGTGCTAGGAGGAGGGAGACAGGAGGAGCTCTGGGGCTTGCCGCCCAGCTAGTCTGACCAAATTGGAAAGTTCCAGATACAAAAAACTAGGTAGAGAGCCATTGAGGAAGACACTCAACATTGATCTCTGGCTTCCATATATATATACATACACTCATGGGGCATGAGCACTCCATCATATGCAGAAAAACATACATACACACACACACACACACACACACATTTATATTGAAGTAACAATGATCACCTTCAGCTACTCTGAGGAAAATAAAATGTATTTATATGAAGCTAATAAAAAGACGATAAAGATTCACAGACGAATATAACCTGGTCTCTGATAAAAAGAGATAGATTATTCTTTGTTTTCTGTACATACACACATATACACATACTTATATATGAATATATATATATACACATTCACATATATCCATACAGATATATAAATATATTGTTCTGAAGTCTATATAACATTGTTTTAATTATTGTAATTGTGCACTGTAGTAATGTGAATATATTCACAGTAGTTTGCAATTATCCCCAATATCTATACCCCAACCTATATTATCTTTCCCCAATGTGAACTCTGTACCTACTAATCAATAAATTCTAACCTCCTCAGCTCTGTTCTACCTTCTGTGTCTGTGAATTTGCCTACTCTACACCAATCTCCAAAGTGGGATCATACATTTCTCACCTGGTGTATAGCTTATTTCATTTAATACAATGTAGTCAAGATTCTTCCATAGTATAGCACACATCAAGCTTTTATGCCTTTATAGCCAAATAATATTCTGTTGCATGTGTATACCCACACATCCCCTCGATCCTGGTAGGCTGGCTTCAGTTTCCAAGTGACAGATTTGTGGAAGCAGAAAGTTGTCCAGTCTTCTGGGAAAGAGCCCCAAATGTACATTGCTAACTTCCCAGTTACAGAGCAGATTCTGGAACAAGGACTCCAGAGGGAGGGGCCTGCTCTCACCCTGTTTTGAGTTTGCTGTAAGAACTTCACTAAACAGCTTCCTAGAAACTGGATCAAAGCACCCCTTAGTCCCGTACTCTGAGGGTAAGTCTCATCCAGCTGACTTCTGTAGAGGCTGAGAGAGGAGACAGCTTTGCAGGTGAGGACAAGGAGAAACTCAGGGACTTCTCATCTCTTGGCTCTCTACTGAAGGGGATGCATCAAAATATTCCTGTTGGATGTGGAAAGCAATTGTTAGAGCTCATTGGTGATGAAAAGTATGTCTGGGGAGAAAGGACATAACTTTTTCATTTAGTAAAACTTAGGCAACTGTCATATATGGAGCAATTTGCTGGGATCTGTGAGAAATTCTTGATTGGAGGCAGAGCTTATTATCAATTGGTAAATACAAAGAGACTGAAAGCTTGCTATTTGTAGGTCTGTGACAGAAAATGTAATTGAGCCTGGGAGGAAGTGTGCTAATTCAGGTGGTACTTATTTAAGACTATATATATATATATATTATTTTCTAATACAAATATTATTTTCTAATATACTAAGAAATACAAATATTATTTTCTAATATACTAAGGTAGTCAGACTTTTTTGATTGCTAATATCCAGATAAGTGGCTCTCCCTTTAAAATCACTCTGAAAAATATACTAACACTTAGAAAATGTGAATTACTTATTCAAAACCATAAAAATATATATTTAAAACACTCCTCTAAAATGCAACTATATTATTAAGGACTACTAATTTAAAATATTTTTTATTTCACATCTATGAATGTACATATAGGGTGACATATCTGTGTTTTGTACAGTTTTTATAGAGAATTTTTCTTCATGAATTGTTTTATTTGGATAAATTCCAAATATTGAAATGGTTTCATTAGGAGTTTTCAAATCCCATTTACAAGAGGACTTTGGCCATGGCCAGCACTGGCAGCTCTCCGATGTGGACCTGGTCCCTTTCTCCCTGTATTAGTTGAATAACGTGTTTCTGTTGCAGGGTGCAGATGCACACATGCAGAAGCTGGTTCCAAATGTAGTCGGCAATACTCACTGTTATTCCTGTTGTGTGCTGGCATCAAACTCCACTTTGCTTCTGATTTGCATGAAATTTCTGAGGTGCTTCTAGCTGAAATGTCAAATTGGCCCCTTGGAATGCTACTCTTCTACTACCATGCATCTTTTTGGGTCTTGGATAAGATGCTATCTGGTAAAAATCCCCCTTCTCTTCAGGAGTTGGCCTCCAATAGCTACTTTGTCCTAGACTCTTTGGGCTGCTCTAACCAAGCTCCATAAGAGAGCTGGCTCATAAACAGTAGCAGCTTCACTTTGACACTTCTTGATGCTGGGAGGTGCAAAGAGCCAGCAGTGATGTTCAGAGGGCAACCTGTTTTCTGATTCAGGGATGGTGTCTTCTTTGTGTAAGAAGTGTCCTTGAGACTTAGTCCCCAAGTCTTGCCTTTCAGTATATAAACAATGCTGTTAGAATTTCAACATATTGGTTGAGGGAGGTCATAAATATTTGTGGTGAATGAAGAATGAATCCTTACATCAAATGAAGTGGGCAAATAAATGCTTGGATTAATATAAATACTTCATAATTATTTCATTTCATAGACTTTGACAGTTGTCAACTAAATAAAAAGTCATGTTTTTGTGATTTATTCTCCCTCTTATATTCATGATTTCTAAGTAGTATTTCTGGATGCCAAAGTTAATATCATTCAATAGTCAGAGAAGTAATATCCTGTATAGTATATTGGTTCTCTTAGGTCTGTCCAGTGACTAAACCTGAAATGTTGACACATATTACACAACTTTCAATCTGATTACACACTACACTGTTAGTTCCTGATCGTAATGGTAATATTTATAGAGCACTACAGTGTTTCAGGTACTGTCCTCATGCATTACAGACATTAACTCATTAAATTACTATAAAAATGTAGGAGTTGAATACTATGATCATCTCTTATCCACGAGGAATATGGGGTACATTTATATAAAATTGTGCATTCATCCAGCTGTCAATTTGTTAGACCTAGACCTCAACTCAGATGACTTATAGTTTTTTCTTAGGAACTGTAGTATTCTGATGAGCTGTCAATTTTTATCTGACAATGCGGTGGGCATTTAGGAGGAGAAGAACAATTTGAGGATACATCTACAGGAGTTCCCAGCAGCAAAGGACAACTGTACTCCATTGTCACAAGGCTTGAGTAGCTACACCCCTGACTTCAGGCCCCGTAGTTTCTCAGCTTTTAGCAATAACTTCTTTTTCAAGACAGCATCCAGATGCTGTTCTCTGAATCTCATTTGTCTCCTCCAAACTCATAACTGGATTTGAATCCAGTGACGACTGTTAGTTTGTCCACAATATAGAACTGCCTGCCTCTCACCTGGTTTACCTTTAGGAAGTGGCTTCTGCTTCTTTCCCCTACCAGGGATCTGTGCATCTGTAGCAATGTTCACTTGCTTCTAATCAATGGCGATCCATCTTCATCGCTGAACTTTTCAGGCATCCTGTCACATTCTCTGTGACTTTCCAAAGCTCTTCCTTTCTTTGGTATCTTATTTGGATTCTCTCCCTTTATCAGCTACACTAAGCCACCTTTACCTAGAAATTCAAAACAAGGCATGGAAGGTGGTGTTAAAAATAATAGAAATTAAGCCGGGCGGTGGTGGCGCACGCCTTTAATCCCAGCACTCGGGAGGCAGAGGCAGGCGGATCTCTGTGAGTTCGAGGCCAGCCTGGGCTACCAAGTGAGTTCCAGGAAAAGGCGCAAAGCTACACAGAGAAACCCTGTCTCGAAAAACCAAAAAAAATAAATAATAATAATAATAATAGAAATGAATAAAAGTCAGGGGCACTATAGCATGGTATTGTGTTAAAGAGAGACCACAGATAAGATTAATAGACCTGAACTTGTTGATTAAAAGAAAAATCACTGTGAAAGATACAGAGCATAAAATTCAAATAATTAAAAAAATGAAAAGAGAAAAATCACTTAGAAGGGGTGCAGATGTATTTCTGTGATGGAACTCATACACAAAGCCCTGGGTTCTGTCACCAGCACTGAAAAAGAATACAATACTAAGTGAATGTTCCCAAGCCTACCTTTGAGTGTGACTCTGCTTCAGTGGTTCTGGTGGAGACTTTCTGTGGTTGGGCAAGAGTTTAAAAAACAAAAGACTTTTCTACATAGAGAGCTCAAGAATAAGTGAAAAAGCCTGTCATTGCCCATATGTAATTGATGAACAAACATAGGTAAAGGGATCACACATGGAAGATTCATTAGTCCAAATATTTTCCAATATCTTAAAGCAGTGAGATCAAAAGACAGAGTGAGATCTCTGGTCACTGGAACAATAGGAGCAAACTTATTCAAGCACTGTTTATGCAGATATATATTCTCCTGGGTCATCCAAATAACCAGTGTTCCAAAGGGTCAAACTAAAGAATGGAAGTCCCTGAACCTATGTTACCAGAGAGTTGGAAGTCAAAATAAATGGAGAAAGAGCCATCTGGGACTAGTTCCCTAAACACTGATAAGTAAGTTCATGGACACCAAAAATAGGCCAAGGGCCATTTATAATTGCCAGGAAAGTGGAAGGAACAGAGAGGGAAATGATCTAGGGCAAAGGTGGCTTTGTCTTGAATGATGGAGTTTTGCAAACCCCACACCAAAGTCTAGCTACTATTCAAGTCCAACAAGATGACTTTTCTTCCTATTTCCTAACAAGTGGTTCCATGGAGCATGGTAACTAGTGTGTTTTCTAACAGCCTGCTCTATTCAGTGGTTCTTATGCAGCCTTCTTTAAGGTCTCTAACAGATCTGCAACTGAGCATCTCCTTTTTGTGGAATTCTGATGCTCAGAACATGTGATATGGTCCTTGGTTACAGGCTTTGTTTGATCATTTCACTCTGTTGTAATTCCATTATTTGATAATTTCAATTTGACACAGTGGGCCAAATGCAGAAATGCCACTTTGTATTACTTAGATCATACACAGTATGCAATCAGACCCTTAGGTTTCTTTCAAGATGGGACAAGATTCAAGAAGATATTAGAACTGGGGAAAAGGTAAGTGAATAGTTTTCAAATACTACTTTGTAATTAGAACAAATAATAATGACATTTTCAGATAACAGAAAACATTCTATGCCAAAGGCTATTTCAAAATAGAGGCTGATTAAATGGTTCACTTGGTGAAATTTATTGCCACCGAGCTTGGTTACTTGAGTTGGAACTTAAGTAAGTAGAAAAAGAAAAATTGACTCCCATATGTTGTCCTCTGACTTCCACATGTGTACCATGGCATGCAACCCCCACACCCTAATGAGGAAACTGATTAAATGACAAAATCTACAACACTAGTAGCTGACAATTTGTTACAGGGTAGCCTTATGTAACCAGGTGCTTCTTAAGCAGTTTCTACATGGCTGCCTCTTCCTGTCTGATGCTGGAGACTGGAGCACACAGGGAAAGCACTTGGGAAAAGGGAAAATAGACATGAAGTAGGAAAGGGCACAAGCAAGAACTCAAAAGGGGTAGACAAATTCTACTGGTCCTTGCTGACTCTAGCTTCTTCAGTGGTGTATTTTGCTTCCTCCTTAGTGGAGCTAAACACACATGGCCGGAATGACAGAGAAGTCAGTGATTCAGATCTGGGAGGAGATTGAAATACTTGTCAGCAATCTGCTGCCTTGTGAATTGAAATGAGCTTTAAAAAACCTCTGATGTTCCAATTTTACGTCCACATGTTTCTTCTTGGGGCTAGAGAGATGGCTCTGTTGATTAAGAACTGGCTGCAGAAGCATGAGGTCTTCATGTCAGAAGCCAGGCACAACAGCATGTGCCTATAATCCTACTCCAGGAAAGGAAGAAGCGGGAAAAATCACTGGGGCTCATAGTTGAACTGATAAACTTCCTTATAGAACTTGTCTCAAAAAAAAAAAAAAAAAAGAGTTAAGGTCCAGGAGCTGGAGAAATGGATCGGTGGATAAAGTACTTATAATTCAAGCATGAGGACCAGAGTTCAGGTCCCCAGGATTCACGAAGCAGGCATTCCTAACATGCCAACTGAAAACTGATGGGAGGAGACAAGAGGAACCCTGGAAGCTCACAAGGCTAGCCAGGCAGATACACCAGGAAGAAGCAAGAAACCCTGTGTCAAGCAAGGCTGTCCTCTGGTCTCCACAGACACTTGTGCTTGTACTCACACACGTATGCAAACACAGATGTGAACATACACATACCCACATGTGTACTCATACACATATGGAAAGAAAGAAAATAAGAGTGAGAAAAGGTGAGAAGATAACATCAATTTCTGGTATCCATAGGTCACACACACACTCAAAACCTTTTCTGTGGTCCACTCTGATTATAAAATTTCATGAAAGGAAGGGACTTTCAAAATAGTTTTGTTTAACTTCAAAAAGTTGACTCCTTACAAAAATAATCATTAAGTTTTCATCCATGATTTTTTATGTGAAGGGATGAATAGATGAACATGGCAGACACCTGGGTTCTTATGCTAGTAATCACAAGATAAACTTATAATGAGGCTGTAGCTTTTTATTTTTTATTTTTTATTATTATTTTTTTACTGAAGAAGAAATAATTCAAGGCTTAGGTAGGGAGAGGAGAATTGTCATGTACAGGATTATTGCAAAACAGGTTGTAGGAGGTTGGGACGATTGCAATAGAGATGTGGTAGACCCTATGATCTACAAACATCTGAGAGGTAGGGAAGAGGTGTTCTCTTATTCAGTGGGAAAAACCAGCCTATGGAGAGTCCTCATGGCAAGGAGGAGGCTTCTGTGTGGGAGTGTTGACCCAGGCTGAGAGTGGGCCAAAGTTCAGTCATGTGATGAGGGCAAAATTAACTGAAGTTGGGTCAAGTTGGCTAACACAAACTTTGTTCTTACAGATCAATGAGAACAAACATTTTAGTTATTTGTGGCAAAGAAATAAGCAGAGTCAGAGAGAACTTTGTGCAAGGACACGGAACAGGCAGCATTGTCTGTTAATGATCAGAGAACATTTCATCTGAGTTCAGTTTATTTTGGTAGAACTGTTAGGGGTAAGGGGTACTATATGCTGAGCAGGGAGAAGTAGAGAAATTTGATCTGTTTAGTGAATAATTACTTTATGATTGATTAATGAGTTCAGCTCATCATTTATGAAGCAAAGAATGGGGATTTGGATGGTCTGTATTTATCCCTGTCCTGCATGTACAAGGAGGGCCCATATAAGATGGGATGGATGGTCCTTCTAGTGAGCTATTTACCAAATACAAATTTGATTGGGAAATTTTCTTTTTTCTTTTTATTAAATAATTAATTTTACATTCAGACTGCAGCCCCCTTCTCTTTCCACTCCTTCCCTCCCCCTAATCCACCCCTCTTAATTTGTATTAGGAGGATTTCTTTAACCACTATTTTTGCTGGGTAAAATTATTTTTGTTTGGGTAAAATCCAGCATTACCAATCCCTTGGAAAATTGATCTGTTAAAATATATGTGGTCCTTGACCTTTTGACCTGCCTTGGTAATGAGCCCTGTGTATTTTCCCATGTGGAGCTAAGGCTTCAGAATACTGCATTGATGGTTCTTGATTATAAAATGATTATGTAAGATTGTACATTCACTTTGGAAAAAAGATAAGCAATTACTTACAAAGTCAAATATATACCATGTAGTTCTGGAAATAAAAACATTCTCATGAATGTGTATATTTACTAGAATAATAATTATATGAATAACTGCCTATAAACCATAACAGACCAAGTGTCCATAAGATTAAAGGATAAAGAAACTCTGATTCATGCATACATGAATACTATCCACTGATAAAAAAACTGTACTGCTGAAATATAAAAAAAACATTTGGATTTGATTATTAAGAGAAACCAGTGTCAAAAATATATTTAAATGCTTCATATATTGACAAATACAACACAATTCCAGTATAGATTTAATATATAAGTATATATTAAATAATTCTATTTAATTTACATTTTGCTCAAGGACAATTATAGTGTTGGAAAACTACTGATGATTTCTTGGGTCAGAGAGTCAGATAAAGAGATTGATGGAAATGAACATTTTGAGTGTATGGAAATAGTCTACATTATTATTATAGTGCTAGTTAAACAAATGTAAACATTTCCAAAATTCATAAAATTATTAATTTAAAATTCTGGAGTTTTATCATACATAAATTATTGCTAATCCTTCTATATAGAAAATAAATGGGTCAAGGTTAAAGAATATCATCTGTCTGTATCATCCATCTATCCATCCATCCATCCATCCATCCATCCATCCATCCATCCATCCACCTACCTATTAAACTGTTCATCTATATGTAAAATTCTCATTCTAACACACTGTCAACTCTGGTAATGGTATGCTATAGCATCGTTATAACCCACAGGGAAGAGCTCAGAAGAAACACTGTTTGTTTTTCTTTTTTGTTGCTGATATCAAGAAACAATGTGCTTCATTAAGGTATTAAAATATGTTGGTGAATAATGAGCAAGCATAGAGCTAGGTGCTTTGCATTAGATTTAAAGGCTACTATCTCATTTACCATGACGTCATTTATCATGTGCCAGTGACACAGATAACCCATCCATCTTAATCCTTTTCAGTTTGTTTCAAATCCACAAGTGTTCAGTGTATGTATCTTAGTGGTAAAGTACTTGGCAAGTATAAATAAGGACCTAGGTTCAATACCTAATATTAACACACACACACACACACACACACACACACACACACACACACACACACTTGAATTTTTCCTATGTCCTGCCTGGCCTGAGGACAAATCTTTCTTACCTGCCAGTTCTGCAGCCTCTCAGACCCAAATAAACACACAGGCTTTAAATTTGTATCAATAAACTAAAATCTATAGCAATGTAAAACATTTTAAGCAAGTTGCTGCTCTTTAAAAGTATATTCAATCATTTACCCTTTCATCCTATCATATCTACATCCTATTCTCCTTTTTTCTTTAGAAAGATATTGACTTAATAACAATTTGTAATCAATCTCTAAACAAAGACAAATATCCATAATCCATTTTTTGGGAATGTGGGCATAGTATTCGAGGCTATTTCCTGCTGATAGGGGGTGCTGGTAGTCTTATGGGGATCCTGAGAAAATTAAAGATAATGGTCAAGTCCTGGGAAGACTGGCTATAACCTTTGTTGATAGGTACTATCTGTTAAGGTTCAGGATGCCTGGCTTGATAAAATCTGATGCATCTTAATCTGGAACAAAATCTTGCTTCCTGTGGAAACAAAAGCAGAGCCTCCTTTTCAAAGCAACATATCCTTAGATCCAAATTTTGAAGTCAAGATACCTTTAAAATATACATATTGGTTTAACTGAGTAGCCTTTACAATCAAATGTCTTTCTGCAATTAAAAAAT